TGACACATCAGGGATACTGAGCCAGATATATTCAGAAACGTACAGTAATTTAATAAAATGTTTGACTCTTATGCATCCGTCTGAAAGTGGGAATCAGTCTCAGAACTACGCCGTGGGAAAAGCATTCAAAACTGGATGGACGTTTGCCATCAGCCTCACATTCCGGCCGTTTTAATCTGGTGAAAATAGTTGGGCGTGGCCTTTGCTTAGGAGACTGAAACTGGATGGGAACATAACAGGTCTTTACGTGGCAGCGAAAAGAAATGTCCACGGGCATTCGCGGAGTTGTCTGACTGCTGGAACCTGCCCTTATTTAGCCCGACGTTACGTCTGAGAGAGAACGTAAACCGCGGTGCAGAGAAGCTGCCATGGGAAATGTTTGAACCCCGAAAAATGTGAAATGATGCGTTCGACAAAAAACCGATTTTTGTTGCAGTCCACAGTCTGTAATTGCGCTAGTCCTGATACACAGTAACTACTCTTATAACTGTAATTCTGCTTTCCATCTTCCAGCTGTATGTTACTAATTATCTTTTCCCATTTGCGTGTTTGTTTACGTGTATTTACCCATATTTCTTCATTCTTCAACATAAATGCGGTGTATTATTTTCTTAAAAGCTAGGTCTTCATTAATATTAAGCCATGTACTTTAAAATATTGTCTTTTAAAAATAATTTAATGGTTTGTGTAGAGTTCTTACCCTTCCTTTTTAGACAGAGGCATCGTCTGGGTGGCATATTGTACCGATAAGGATCACACTATTGGGTTCATAAAGCATCAAAATTACTCTAGGTCGCTAATACCAAATTTAATCGAAATCCGATTAGTAGTCTGTGAGATGAAAAATTCACGCCACGCGGAACAGGTCCGTGTGGCGTAGTACCTGAGGCTTCTTTTCGGGACGTACGTGGGTCGAGTCCAGGCCGAGGTGCCGGATGTTTGTGCGTTTTCTTGTATATCTGATGAGTATCTTAAAGTGTCGCCACTGCTTCATTCCATTTATGTTTTCTGCAACGAACGCGTGTTGTATATTGAGTCATAGAAAGGAGCTGCTCTTTGAAGCAGATCTCCCTAAGCGACGTCTGATATATTTGTTACTGTGATAATACCGATAAAAAATAAAATGTCCGTAGAAAGGAAGTTTGTTTTTGCTAAAAGAACTGCATTTTTGTAGACTGGTGTGACCAGTTTCGTATATGCTGTCAAGGTTATGTTGGACTGGGCTGTTCTGTCGAGTGTGGAGGAGGGTTTAGCACCGTCGGATTAAAAATTGCGACAAAATTATGGTTGGGATAGTTTATTTTATTTATATGTCGTTGTTTGCGCAATGGAGTCGTGTCAGTAATATGATAAATCATTCTAATAGATCGCATGCACTCGTCCACGGATGTTGTGGTTATGTTCGGCAGAGTGAAGTACATTTAAAAGTGTTGTTGTGTATGAGATTGGTTATTGATGTTTTTTTCAGTTGTAGAGAATGTTCGATTTATGCGATTTTTACGCTCTGCGACCTTTTTTTTTTTTTTCGTAACACAGCTATCGCATAAATCAAGAAGGTATACTTGTAATTGGATTTGTGGATACCTTACAGGTAAAAAATCAGAAATAAAAGTTGAGCCTTGTGCTCAGCAGTCAGAAACTAATCCATATATGTCGTAGGGTTTCCCAGATATAATACTGTGACGACGGAACTACTGATGTTTTGGGAGAACTCTCTGCCTTTATTCAGCAGCGAAGTGACGTAAGCGTAGTGTTTGAGGATTTATGTGAGAAAAATAACACTGTCAAGACATACGATGTTTCTGTGCATGATTTTGTAGTGCCCTGTCCTTGGAGTTGAAAATGGTGTCATAGAGGTAAAGATTGAAGTAGGTGGCCATCTTTGCGTTCCGGCCGCTTTACCCCCGGCGAAGACCGCTGTGAAAAACCCATGCACCTACAAGGAATCGAACCGCAATTATCCAGCATGTAGCCAGTTCTTTGACAGTTGTTATATAAAATAAATTTACCCCGGTACCAGTCAAGTGCCAGGTAAGAGACGTATCTCTTAAGACCGAGGGTGTGACACGCCTCGGGGGCGGTGCTAGATGAAGGAATGGTGGAGTGGCGATCAGTAGAAGAAACATTCCCCAGTGACACTTCGTTATCCATGACTCACCGGAAGTTGCTCTGGACGGAACACTTGGTCTCCACTGTGAGAATACGTCGTTTATCTGACTTATATGTCATGTCCGTAAAACGGTTTTCGACAGTAGTTTACGTTGTATGTAAGAACATTTCTATCGGGCAGTGCTGAACGTAAGAGAGACAAGATGACATTAGGATTTTTGTTGTTACAACCGCGGTGAGTACGAAGATGGCAGTCGGTTCTGACTCCTTCGCTGCTGAATTGTTAATTTCTGTTGCATAATCAAGTCGAGTTGTTTGATAGTTGCTAGCCTTGGTCAGTTACCTCTAGCAGTTTTCTGTCAGACCAGACACTGTTGTTAGCCATTGAGAGGGGTTGTAATGTGTGACCGGCGATGAAGTAGCCCAAGGCTGTGGGACGACTGAGCTCCACGTGGCCATTTTGCTCGTTAGAGTTTCGGCTTAAAAAAATAAAATTGATTCCTGATGATGAAGACAGAGTGTGTCTCTGAAACGTTGGACTACGATTCCATTTTGATGCTGCTTGTAGCCCGAAAAGTTTTTATTGCCTTTAGTTGCCGCGATAGCCTCAAGTCTTAGATGTTCTTAAATATTTCATTTCCCCATGTGCACATCTGAAATTTACCTGTCGTTTTCCATCGGTGTGAAACTTGGTCTGAGGGAAGATGGTAGATTTAGGGTGTTTGACTCAAAGTATGTAAAGAAAGTGGATGTAACAGAATGATATAGATAATTACATGATGAAGAACTTTATAATTTGTAGTTTCCACGTAGCATTGTTAGGATGATTAACTCAAGAATGATCACGTGTTTGGTGCCACTAGCTTGTAAGAGAACCTTAAGGAATGCCTAAACGTACTTTGTCGGAAAACCTGATGTTAAGAGACCGCTTAGGAAACGTGTGTGGATGGAAGGGAAGTGGCTTGGGATATGGCCCACTGGTGAGCTTTTGTGTACATGTATGTTCTATAAAACATGACATTCGTGGCTAGCTGAGCGACTATAAACTGTTAAAGACTCTGCATCATGGAGGGAACGATTGAGTGAGTGGGTTATTGCGTCTTAAATGTAATACTATTGAAAGTAAGATTCAGCCACATCAGAAGAAATGTTTCTTTGTTCTTTCTCATACAATGATCAGTTTTGCATAGGAAAATACGATGTAAAAATGTAGCCCCTTAAATGTCTGTTAAGACCATTCCATTTCCATGTTTTCTAAATGACCTTCGATCAAGTTAATGTTAGATACTAGTTGTAAGAAATTCAAAGAGGCTTTGGTAGCATGTGGCAAGGATGTCTATCAGGCATCTGGAGGGGCCGCATCAATCGTCTAAAGGCTATCCATAAAAGTTGTTAAATTTATCTTCCCCTTTTCACAAGAATAGCGTAACTGGTTTTATAATTTTCAGCCTATTCGTGTTTCATACCCAGCTCATTTAGTGTTTACTTTATCTGTCCAGCAGTTATTTCAAAACTGACAATTTCATAAGCAGTCAGCATAGCTGTGTGTTCATGATTATGAACTTAATACAGTTGAGGGGATGAAAATGTCGAAGTATATAATCTGGTGAGATTGAGGTTAATATTTGTCAGACACAACAGTGCAACAACATGCATGAAGACAGCCAAATAACTAAGCGGGCTAGAGTAATCTTAATGTGCCTGATTTATAATCTTGAGGTGTCCAGTTTGAATGTGAGGGGAGTCACTGATGTTCTGAGGAGAAAATGTCAGGATAGTACCTTGAAATGGGCCACATCTCTTTTCTACCTGGTTTTTTGCAGTTTCACTTAAATACGCATCATGTTGATTTATCTGACTTTACGCTGTTACTTGTTTAAAGATATAAATCAGTAGCGTTCACGTACATTATGTCTGTATAATTGTTTCGTCGATTCACTAACCACCACTCCACATCGGTTGGTGGAATTACATAAGGGAGATTCAACGTTATTCCAGCAGATGGGGATTATTGGATGTCTGGCCGAGTCATAATCACCTCAAACAGAGAATTGCAACCGATTGTCACTAAGCTTTGAACACCATTCTCGCACAATTTTGTCTTTGGTAAGAACACCGGCCAACAGCTTGGTATACTCCGATGTTCACAAGTTACTTCTGCAGAGTCCCAAGTATGCGGACGT